TTCGGCCACGTGCTTTTGCTATCATCCTGCCGAATACCCATGTATCCGTCACATCATGCCAGATAACAAGAAATTATGCATCTCATAGTAATTCATTCGTACTGTTATTTGAGACTTTGCTGTTTCTTTTTTATTGATTTACACTTAGTGTGAATATGTGACATGTAATTATAAAAATTTTCAAGTTTATAATGAAATATAAAGGACACACGTATTCATTAAACTGTAGAGTATACAGCAATTCAGCAATAAAATTACTTAAGCTATTCAAAATTATGTCGCTAATTCAATTTAGGGAGTCTTGCTTTTTATATTCATACAAATCACATCATATCATAAAACATAACCAAATTTAAGCATGGGAATGTTTAATTCCAGGTCGGTATGGTATTTAAGCTATTTATCTTTAATTTCTTTTATCTGTACTACGTTCAAAAATTCGGAAGTAGAGTTTAAATTTCTCCATAACGAATTTAAATTAAAAGAATTATAATGTACTATCTGTGTTCAATATCGCGCATTATTTTGGTGCTTTTACAGCAACAATATTTCAGTTATCGTTATAGAAATACTATAGAAATAATAAAAATGACCATGAATTATCATAATAGCTTAAATTTTTACTTTCGGTTTTACGTACTCTACAGTATAGATGGGCAAAGTAATTAATTATTACGTAAAAAGTTAAACAACTATGCGACAATTTACTAATATCATGCTAAATTGTCACATTTGAATGATTTTTTACGTATTATTTCTTTAGTAATTTGTAATTTATCTGTCCATTGTAATCTTGTAAAGCTTGTTTTTTGGATTTTTTTGTAAATATTCACTATTGGCATAAAACCATATTTAATATTCATCTCTATATATTTATTTACATTAGATAAACAGCTTTGTTAATATATATCATTACCCAACCATATATCTTTGAAGAATTAAAATTTTGAATATCTTAAATTTAATAAGAACAAATACTAGAATTAAAAATTTAAATTAGGTGAAGACTAAATAATGGCAAGAACAAGTTCACAAATAATGAACATAAATATTAATTCCCATTATCTAATACCTCCAAATCATTTAATTCGCATTAATTTTATTAAGATGTACTGTAAATATAGACTTCACAGAATCAACTCAATGCGCTATCAATCAATGCCCGGATTTGTATGAAGAATCGCTGCCTTATTTGCACAAGCTACTATGAATTAGACTTAACTCACATAATCTAATCAATTACACATTGCAACCGTTACATAAATTACAACACTTTTTGCAGAATTACAACTATTGCAGCTATTTTACTAATTACAACTATTGAACTTATTACGGAAAAACTTAACCTCTGAATAAAAGTTGAACCTTTCAATCCTGCCAAACCCATTAGGTAGGCAACCTTTACCAGGGAAGTTTAATACTCTTCTAAGTGGTTACTAATCTCTTCTGTTTCTTTTTTACTTTCTTGTGTGGTTTCTAACATTTATATTAGATAGTAACCATCCCTAACGTTTGTAATCAATGTTTTTCCATATCAAAAATAAAATCAGCTAAGTTGGCTAGCTCCTAATCGGTTTACAGTTTAACATTACCCGCCAGATAATAAAATTTATTTGGAATCGATCATGTTGAGTTCAACATTCCAATATAAGTCATAATCAGCTGCCAAATAGCTACACATTATATTGATTGACAGCCATAGACAGGGATATTTATTAAAGAATTTGTGAAAATTAAGTATTGGTTAAAGATTCCTTCATAAGCATAAACCTACAGCAATAAATTTTCACTATAGTATACGTGACACGAACCATGCTACCTTGAACGTGCCAGAGTGAACAATATAGGAATCGAACAAAAATTTTAAATATTTACAGTATCAAATATTAGCAAGAAATAATAAATAAGGTAGAGTATAATAGAATAAAATAGAATAAAATAAATAATAAAAATTTGAGCATATAGTCTTGAATTAGCGCTTATGATAAATCTTAAATTGATTTTCTAATTGTCGAAAGCGATGTTCTAGCCATCTCAAATATGTCACAGGATCAAGACAAATAACTACGATAACACTATTAGTACCTGAAAAGATTGCCAGTTAAAATATTAGAAAACATATGGAGAAAATTTAGAAATTATGAGATATAATAAACCCAAATTTTCACCATTTCTAATTTGTCCATTATTTCTAATTTGTCCACCATTTCTAACTTGTCTCTTGGTTTTTGTTTTCTTATTCTCTAATTGTCGAACACAATTTTCAAGATTATTCAAATAGTTTACGAATGTTGGATTTGAAGTATGTAAGGGTCTTCTAACGATTAAAATCCGACAATTCAAATTTCTATTAGGTTTGTTATTTATTTTGCCCATCTTCAAAATTTTTCTTTTTTTTTCGTATGGTTATGAAAAATAGACGACAGAAAACTTCCACTTATATACTTTTTCGGAATAATTTAAAAATGTTAAGTATAAAGTTATAGTTTCCTGAATGGAAAATTCCAGAACGCTTTTAGTATCTTATGCAACGAGTTTAAAAAATACAAACTTGGAAATTCCATGCTACATAGAATTTCTAGAAATCTAAAAGTTTTGGGATTAACAATATTAAGAAATATCACAAACACAAATATTTTTGACATGAATGCACGCACCAAAAACATTTATTAAATTTTGTTTATACATACCAATCGGGAAGTTTTATATTGGTTCTGTTTTGGCCACTTAACATGGTTATCGCACCTTGTTTGGTAATTTCCAAATATGGTATTACTAAAATTGAAAATGTTCGATATTCTAGAAGCCTAATGGAAGTAGTCACAATCAACCTGATTCATGTATATACGTGGTACATATATACGTCGTTACTATTTTTCCTCGGAGATAAATTACCGTCATAATATAAATGGCTTAACTCTGACAGTAACCATACAGAGGCTTTAGTGAACAAAAATTATTATGAAATCATAATATTAGTGTAATTAATACGATAAATAAGTTATTTTGGGAAGATTAAAGAACACTGAACTCAGTGATCATCACAGTATCACATGACAATCACTCGGCCTAGGTTAGGGTTAGT